ATTACAAGTACACCTCATCTGACATTTGGCACAAATAACATCTCATGATCTAGCAAATTAGGGTCCTTACAGCTGCCCTGACTGAGACAGAAAAAAATTAATTAATAAATAATTAATGATATTTAATTAGAATCTCAAATTAATTCTCACACCATTGGTCAATTTGATTAAAAAGTATTTCCTAGAAAGTCAAGTCCTTCTCAGAACTGTTATTTGGAGATAAAATTAAATTTTTTAATTAAAATATTTTCAGAATTCACATTACAATACTTATACATGTACTAAAAATCACTGTTTATATTATATGTCAGAGAATACATACTGAAAACTATAGTTTTGTTAGATCATTATAAATGGTTGGATTACAGTTTTAAAGAAAATATAGGACATTATATAGTATCTGTATTATGTTTCAGCAACAAATACATCTCTAGAACTTTTTAAATAATATTTATTTTAAGTTTAAGGAAACAGCTTTATTTGATAACACTCAAATGTTAAGAAATAGTCTAAGAAATCCAAGCATTTAAATATATATACTATAAATATATACAGTAACAAATAAAATGTTGAATGCATTATGATCAATAGTGTAAAATGCAGAATACTTTCACACCATTTTGTATTTAATTTAATCCTTATATTTTGGTTCAATTTTTGTTATAAATACATGACTAACATTCCTATAGCCTTAAGCATTTTATTGAAAAAAATATTATTGCATTGAACTACAGTCCAAGTAATTTATTGAATAACCTAAAAAAAAGCTGCTTTGCATGTACATTAGTGCAATTTACTTAGCCACAGTATAATCAAAATTGCTTTGAACAGAGAAAACAGAATAAATTGACTGGCTTAGACCATATTTCAGACCTTCATTCAGTTTCATTTAAATTAAATATCATAGGATTCAATAACCTGGGACTTACTATACACAGAGACACAACCAATCTACATTTCGACTACTTTAAAAGCTCTGACACATTAATGTAAATGACCATTTTGCACAGGATTAAAAATGTTTTCTTGAATTTGATTGTCTCAATATGTGACTTTTTAAAAAGAACACACTGTAATAAACTTTCTCTTTTCAACACAGATTAAGGTTTACAACTTAAGAATAAAGAATATATTAAGAGCACACAAACAAATGCACATATACATTCATATATGCTTCTTTTATTTCTTACTTCCTGGCTTTTGTTTGTTTGTTTCTAGCAAGGTGTTCTTGATCTTGGTACTTAAGAAAGGTGGTAAGTTGCAAAAATAAGAAGTGATTTTGAGAAAGGAATTTTAAAAAATTGGATTGGAAGTATTTACTCTTGTGTTTAACTTCAGAGAATGAAAAAGACCCTTTAGCTTATGTCATATATTGGCTTATTCTAAACATAACCATTTGGCCATTGCTCCCATCTTAAATACATCTTAATCCCCCACAGTACAACACTTATCATCAAATACCTAATAGAGGAAGTAGCTAATATTTTCTTCTGGAATGGAATGATAACCATTGAAAATTCTCTGACCCATGCTTCCTAGCAGGGACAACTCCCATTTCAAAACTCTCATCTTATGAATTGGTTCCTGTCTGAGACACAAAGGGCAACCATGCATTTCCCTGGCCCAAGGATGAATTTGCTCACCAGCTCATTTTAATATGTGTCTGTTCATCAATGAGAGCACATTCTGATTTAGGAGTTCATCCAATTCAAGAAGCCTAGCTTATGCCTCTTCTTTGTTGAGGCAGAGAATAATTAGACAACTTTCACACCTAAGTAGACTAGCTACATACACAGACACGTGAGATACTGGCCTTTAAATTTTGGTTTAGAAAGCTAGAGCTGATATATCCAAGTTTTCTTCAGAATATTTAACAATCATCCTTAAAAATCACAGGGAATATTTTTAAGAAAAGATGTAGAGTTGTACTGTAGTATGTTACTGTTGTCAATTGCAATCCCAGCAAACCTCATAGAAGCATCCTGGTAGGGTGTTTCTTATATTTTCATTTATAGTCCTGGAATACTGCAGTAATCCTGTTTGCAGACCAACTTGGTATCTCCAGTTACTGTTTTGAAGGTTTGAAAAACAAGATGTATTTAGATATAAACTTCAAAGTATTATTAAAATTTTTTAAAACTTCACTGTTCCTGTCCTTGATTCTACAGAAAAACTTCATGCAAGAAGACACAGAGGCCTTGCAATATGATTTATCCTGAGTAATATGATAATTAAAAATTCCGTTTAATTAGAAACTTTTGAAGGACTTGTTTTTTTAAATGTGCTTCTACCCAATGATAAAGAGATATTCCATGAAGACCTGACAGAGAATGAAAATGGTAGGCACCATCAAATCCATTTTTTGTGAGAAAGAAATTTCAAACATTCTGAAGTATATTTCCCTACATGGTGATGGGGGAATCAAAGCCTCAGAATTAGGAACTTTGTAAATCATTCTCTACTGTCTAATCACCTCTAGTATTACATTATTTATAGCATGTACAAACATGAACTTAAAAATCATATTAGAGAATACATTTTATAGCCACATTGCATGTTTTCTTGCAAATTTTGATAATGATTAAGAAAATGAACTTTACTCATTAACAGTTCATCATACAACATATTTACTTTCTTGAATCATGCCTGAATTCATTGAAGCATATGATGATGGAATGACTCTGAATCTTTAGGGAGTCTATGTGTTCATGTGCTCACATGTGAATATCTGTATAAATATTTCACAGCCATTCTCTACAGTATTTTTCTTTAATTTAATCTTGGTTCTTGGACAGATACACAAGAAGGTCAAATGACTAAGAATAAAGAGTAAACTAAGAAAAGAAAACAAAATTCCACAAATTCATCATGTAATAGAAAATTGCTCAAATCAATTATCAAATAATTTGATGGATGTGATACTTAAAGTATGATCCATAAGACTGTACTTTTAATGGCTCTAATTTAGAATTCAGAATATTCTTAGACTTCTTTCTGCATATAATTTTAAGAATGCATTCCTTAAAGATGGAAAGAGAAACTGGCATGACTGCTACTCCATTGTACTTTCCACTGATATGATGCCACATGTTTTAGGACTTCTTACATTGGAGTATGAGTTATTTTTGTTTAAGCAGCCCTTTTCCATTGTGTGAGATGGGATATCCACTGAGAATTTTCATCATTTCCCGTGCAGGATAGAGCAGTCATTTCCAAACTATCCACTTACATTGATCTATTTAAGTCTCCTGATTTAACTTTCTGAGATTCTCTATGGTCTTCAAAGCAATTTAAGAATCAATCAGATGCTCTGTCTTTTCTGTAATAAGACTTCTAGTTACTGTTCATAATCACTCTGTCTTGGCTTTGTATCATCTCTATAATTTATTGAGAAACTAATTATCCAAAATATATTTTGATTGGGGCGGGAGTTATTTTCTATATTTAAAATAGTATTTCCACTCTTTTTCTTCTTAGGATGATTTACCCAAAATGCACTACCTTTATTAGTTACTTTTGTGGAATTATATGCAAGTATGGGGCTTCTTGCTGTTTGATAGATGTCTTTCTTTTTTTCTATTCATTTTAAATAGGAAAGACTCTGCCTCTTCTATATTACAATAAAAGGCTGCATACAAAACTGTTTGGTGTTACTTTGGTAAGTACAGTTGTTCTTTATGTGAACATTTCAGATTTATTTATTTCCTTTTTTTTTCATGCTGTCTCTTCAGAAGCAAAGATATCTTTCACAGAATAAAACAGCTATTTAATTTTTCAACTGCATTGATGACATGAAGAATGACAATATTGATCTCCACAGTTGTGAGGAATAAGAAAAAGTGTGCTAAGTGCTTCACCTGCCTGAAGTGAAATGCATGTATTCAGAGAATGTAGATGCCTTCCCCAGGGCTGAGTAAGAGTTGCTCTTTCCACCAGTGTGCTGAAGGCTACATCTTCACCTCATTATCAGATAGAGGCTGCATTCTGCTCTGTGAATTTGACTTTCTGGAAACCCATAGTTAGAGGAGATGTAATACTTTCATAATTATAAAGATATTAAAGTATACACCAACTATATGACAGTTCACAAATAATACAAGAAGTGAAAATTATATGGGCCAGGAAGTCTTTTGAATTTTTCAATCACATGGATGAAAACTTGGCTTACCTTCATAAAATTCATCATTTCTAAGTCCCATGTTTCTTATTCCTGAACACAATGAAGCTTCTGAGTAATAAAGAAAACTTAATTTTTTTAGTTCTTATAATATTTGAAACAATTATCAATATGTGTAAAATGTTATTGTATGGATATTTTATTTTGCATTATCAAATAATAATAATATCTTTTGTATGCTTTCTGATACAAAATTTAAACATTATTAATTCCTGATGCTATTGCTTCATACAAGGTGATCATGATATAGTTACATATGGAGTGAAGAAAAATGATCTTTTACAGAATTTCAATACCTTTAAAGTTACTTTGTGTAGTTGCTTTCATCTTGTGTAAATCAGAATATATCTTAGATTCTAAGAAAACTATGTCAAAAAATTACTCTTAATCATTGGCTCATTTTACTGACTTTTTAATATTATCTAAAAAATGAAGCTGAAATTAACATTCATTCACCACTCCCTCATCAAACGCTTCAAACATAGAATGTTCTATTTTTCCTTCATACTTGTAATGCTCCAGAATGTTTTCTTTTGCCAGTTTTACCATTCATTAACAACTTATCTCACACTATGCTTTAATACTTCCTAGCGTTTCCTCCCAGAAAATTATTTTAATTTGCTGTATTATTTTTGCCAGAACAAGTCCTTAAAATTCTACCATTTCTATTATGGTAATTCGGTTTTTATTTATGTATGAATTATGTTTGGACTTGGCACCATTATTTTAAGCCTTGTAATAATGGGCGAGATGAAATTAATGCATTGCTTTGCAGGTAGGGACAATTTGTGTTATTTATTCATTAGATGAGTTGTAATAACTATTAGTTCAAGTGTACTGACATATTTAAGGCCTCTTTCACACTATTTAACTGTTGCATCTGGTTGGACCAAGAGTGATGGCAAAGATCTTGTTCTTGTAGCACTGGTTGGATTAAAGGATTCAAATGGAAAATAGAAGTTGTGGCTGGATTGAAATGAGGAGCAAACAACGTGGGAAGAAACGCTGCAGGAGGCAGTGTCTGAAATGTTACATGGGATGGGTGGAAGGGGGCAGCGGTGACTAAATGCAGCGGATGTCCTAGGAAAGTAGCATGTGCAGGGATAATGGTTGGAGCCATGGCTGAAAACGAAATAGGAGTAAAATGTGGCTGCGACAGTGGGTGCAGATGAGCTATTGGGAGGGGGCTGCTGTGGGAGCTTATGGAAGCAGAAACAGCAAAGTGCTGTAGGAAGGTGTGGTGGATGGTGGTAATGGATGTGTGCTGGTGGACCGGAACTGTCTGCACAGCCGAGGGCGGAGAGAAGGCAGTGGGCCCCGCAGCAGGCAAGACTCGGAGATGCTTGGACAGGAGCTGTTTCTGCATATGCTGCTGGGCTTGTAGCTGGAGAAGCTTGTACTTGTCTATTTCATCAGGAGAAAATGTTATTGGCTGTTGAATTAAAGGTGGGGAGAGAGATTTATGACACACTTCTAATTCATCCTCAGCTTTGTCATGCTTCTGCATAGTTCTGTCACAGTACGAGTTTGTATTCCCCTCTACTTGATTCATAGACATGCTTACATCTTGTAAGTCTTGATTTATCTGGTCCTCTTTGGTCTCTATTGAATCAGTTACACCAGTATATCTGTTAGATGGAAAAGCACCAAGGAAATCATTTGGTACTGGGTCGCAACTTCCAAGAAAAGGTTGCCCTTCGCTAATTGAAGATTTAGATTGCTCTTTTGTTGCCTGGTTCTTTTTTCTGCTTAAAGAGTGAGGGTCTGTTATTGGATTCGCGCCTTTGGAGAGATAGTTATCACATTCAGTGTCTGTTAAAATAGTAAAATTATTTTTTTGTGAACTTTTGATTTTGCTTTTGTCAAAAGACTTGTGAATCTTACTGCCCTTATCATTTGTCCTATTGCCCATTTGTTCTGTCTTCTCTGAAAAAGGCAATGCTGTTCTGCTAAAGCTTGGTGGTCCAGTCTGAATTGTGTGTGGGATTTGTGAATAAATCTCTGATTGTTTTAAATCATTGTTTGAAGAGACCTCAAGCTTAGTTAATTGCTCCTGACACTTCTTGGCTTTTACTCTTTCTAAAAGACCCTTGGCTGTCAGGGAAGGCCCTTCTCCACCTGGAATATTTGGTTGTGTGGTTTCTGAAGGGCCACCTACACAGTTCCTTAGAAGGCAGTTGAGATTGCCTGGGTTGCATTGTCTGCCCTTGACTTTTTCCACATCACAAATGTGAAGGCTGGCCAAATACTTTTGGCTTCTCTTGTTTTTATTTAAGCAGTAAGCTCTGTGTCTCAAACAGGAGCCTGATTTGCTGTGCGGAGGTCCCGGGCCTTTAAAGGGGTTTTCACTCTTTCTGTCAAGGGAAATCTGTGAACTGGAATCACAGTGGAAAATTCTCACGGGCTTGGTCCCTGAAAATTGTTGTTTTTTACCCAGTTTATATCTTTCTCTGCAGTGACAGTTTCTGTGTTTTGGTTGTTTGTTAGTCTTCAGTGAATCCCACAGTTTTTCACTCCTGCCTCTCTGGGTTTCTGACTGAGGACCTTCACCACTTATTGGCACATCCGACCAGTTGATGCAATTGTGCTTCCTGTGTCCCCACACATGCCTTTCAATTGAGTCACATTCTTTTCTACAAACGTAGAGCAAAGGACTGCTGCCACTGCCATTGGACCTGTGACTGGAACACATGTTTCTCCAGCTGGACATGTTTCTGGGAGACTCATCCCAAGTTCTGGGATGGTCACTCAGAGGTGGATTTGGAGAACATCTGTCATAATTTTGTTTCCCACTTGGAGACACACTGCTGGCCACGCTGCTATTGTAGCTAGCTAAACTCTCTCTGATCTCCTTCCCGTGGTCATCTTGACCCTCTGATGTATGAGGACTCAAACTCCAGCTACACTGGTTTTCTCCTTCAAACTCTGAACATGGACTGCAGGGATTCAGTTTATGCTTTTTAGTCCTAGAGAGGTGAGGAGAGCATGAAAGACTCTCCTGTGCATTGTGTAGAATTGCCCTCTTGCAGCCTTGCCAGTGGACCTTTGAATGTTTCTCAAATCCAATGCCACCAGCATTTTCCTTCCTTATGCTCTCCTTTAGAGACAGATTAAGGTAAGCAGGCACTTCAGGACTTCTCATTTCCAAGTCTCTTACACTGTCATGTTCACTCATGCTAGAATCAGAATCATTGTAGCCCAAATTATATTTGCTCTGGAACTTTTCCCAATCTGGCTTAGCTATAAGCATCTTTGGCTTTAGAGATTGTTTATCTTGGGTAATTTTTTGTTGTTCTTTAATTAAACCTGAGACATGGATGTCTGTCTTTGGCTTCATTTCCAAAGCCTTCTTCTCCAATTCTGTTTTTACATTTTCTGAATTATGTTCATCTTTTGTGTTTCTAGAAAGCTTGAAATCAAAATATAATGGATTACAGCCATAAGATATGCACGGTTCTGTTCTGGTAAAGAACAGAAGTTCTGTAGGCCACTGTAGAGTGGTGTGTCCATCCTTGCTCTGTACATGGAGGAAAGGCAATGGTTTGGATTTCAGATCATGTGGACAACCTTCTGTGCAAAGTCTTTGCATATTGTTGCTAACTCTTTCTGCTTCATCTAAAGACTTTACTCTGTCTTCCATTCTGGAGTTAGAATTCAGATGTGCTCTCATCTTCTTTTCACTTGGCCCTGAAGGCAAAAACTCATCCAGACTTTGGCACCAACTGTTGTCCCTGTGCTTGCAAATGTTTAGTGGAGTGGAGGATTCATTTGTTTGGCATGGGTGATTAATGCAGTTTTCTGAAGTGTCCTTCAATGTATTCCTAATTTCTTTCTCTCTGCTGGAAAGAGTAAAATCTCTTTCAGAAAGATGGAGGTTCGACCTAGAGAATGAAGCATGAATACCTGATGAATCTTTCAGTCTCTCATTTAGAGATTCAATTTTGTTTTGTGACATTTTGGAGTTCATTGAGAAACTGCTGTTCAAAACACCCTCCAGATGGCTTGGTGATATGGCACCTCTTTCCTTAGCAAGGTGTGGGCCATCATTTGCAAACCTGCAACACATGCATTTCTCCATGGTGTGTTTGACTTTATAGGTGGGTGACTTGTTGCAATCATGGGTGTCTTCTGTGTTCTCTCTGAAAACTGAGGCTGAGGATTCTAGTTTTAGATAGGCTTTTTTTGAAAAGGAAAAGGAAACGCCTGTTCTGGGGTTTGCATTGCTGATATCTGAAGATGTTTGTGTTATCCTGTTTCCAAGCAGATACCGTCTGTCTGGTTGTAACTGTGGTCGGCTAGGAGTGGTAAATCGGTGCTTATCTATGGTGCTTCTGGACAGGTTCTTTCCCTTGAGCAGAAGGGTGCTCTTCATGCAGGAGACCTTTCTTCCATTCTTAACTGGGAAAATTCCCTGCTGGAGCTGCTTTTCCATAGCGATCCTGGGGGCTTTGTATACTGGTCCATTTCCAGAAACACTGTAAATACAGTAAATAATGAAATGAGTAGCATATTAGCATTGGAATCAAATCTACATGCAAATAACATTCTATAGTATTTCTATAGTGAGCTGTTTTTCTATTTACTGATGAACATTATTTTCTACAACCAACCATTTTATCATGTGCATACAAGTCACTTAACTACTATATAGCTAAGTTGAAATGTTTTATTTAATTCTGTTATTTAGAAACATAAAATGCAATAACAAGTAAATATCTTATAGGAAAGCTGCAAAACAAAATAAAATAGAACATTTACACCCGCAATACATTCTTAGAACCTATGGTCTTTAGAAATACAGAGTTAACATGTTTCCTAGTCTTCTAACCAGTATCTTCATATTTAGTAAGAAATTATAATTTACAAAGCATAAAACAGTTTTAATTTTGTTTTTCAGCCTCTTTAGCACTCAGTATTTAACCCTTCAACATCAAAAGTCTTTTCCATTTTCTTCTGTTGAAGCAAAGTGCTTAGTCATTACTTTAGTCAGTAGTTAATGATTACAGAGGCAAGTAACTGGCATGTTCAAGTAGGCTCAGTGTTCCCAGGGATTTTGCAGGAGTTTCTCTTGCTTCTTACTCATCAGAACAACTTTATGCCAGTTGTGCATTCTCTGTCTTTTGAGGTTTTTCAAGATTGTTGATTTTGCTGAAGGTCATTAATAATTCAAACAGCAAGCAGAAAATAAACATACATAGACAAACTTTTAGGTTAAAATTAGCCTTTTCACACCCTATCAGTTACCTCTTTCCTACAGTCATGCTGATGCTGACTGCGGAAAAGCAAAGACTGCATCACTTTCCAACTGCTTATTTGAAATTCCATTCTGTTCTTATCCTTTCTCCATGTTCTTGGACAGACATCTAACTTTTGTTTTGTATCTTAGATTTTCATTATTACTCATCATTTGCTTCTTGGCTATAAAATATTAAAAGTCATGCCCTTAAAATATATCACTTAAACTGTGTAGGACTAACTGTATTTTTAATACCTATCCTCATACCAACACAAAAATAGCCCTCTTTTTGTAACAGATGGAGAATGTTACAGAAAAACATACCTTGTAAAAATAAGTGACTGTGGGGCACTGAGCTCAACTTAATACACCTACAATACATCATTTACACTCAGAGAAAATCACAGAAGAAGTATATATTGTAAGATCCAGAGGATCAGGGCAGTTGCTTTAGGATAGCATCTTCAAGACATGACAGAGAAACTGTTTCCGTGAAATCTCAACAATATGACAGCATAAATAAGCTCTGTGTAACTACACCAGTAGACATGCCAACATGAATGGAGATTTCACAAGATTCCACCTTAGATAAGATACATTTACCACAACACATAATTACCTATGTGTGTGTTAAAACAACTTAAGATGATGCATCTTAGCAAATTTCCAGTAAACACTATAATGATTGTTACTGTGTATTGTCTCTAGGCTCTACATTAGATCTCAAGAATTTATATGAGCATAAGTTGACTTTCAATTTCCCAATCCTGTTGTCCCTAGAAGTGAATGTTCCTACTTCTGTAATTTTTCATAGTTATTACATTTGTTCTTTCATTTTTTTCCTTTGGACCTATCTTTAGTTTCAATGATTTCATTTTTAATACCGAATAAGAAAGTTACCATCCAGTTAAGGATTAACTCGTACTATTGTATTGTTCATTCCAATATTGTCCTCCATTCTAAAGCAAAGTGACTTCATAAATATACATCTCTTATGGGGAAAAACAGTTTTCATGAATAAAAAACTACCAAAATAGAATGGGGTGTGTGTGGTGTGTGTGTGTGTGTGTGTGTGTGTGTGTGTGTGTGTGTTGTTTGGTTCTTTTATGGGGAACTTCGGCTTTCAGAATGAAAATCACTAACATTTTTCAATTTTGTAAAAATACCCATAAAGTTGTACTGTGTTTATACTTTACATAGATGTTTACATTCAAAAAGTGAAGTATTTCCTAATGCAATAGATGTTTTCACTGGGGACCCCAGCTGAGTGAAGCGATTCAAGAGAAGATCAAAGTTTGTTGCCCTATATGAAACTCATAGGCTGTTTTCTGCCAGTATTTGTTTATCTGTTGGATTCAAGTACACTTGCTGCTGCTAATTAACCTTTCTTTCCACATGAAGAATCATATTATATGGATCATTCTACACAGACAGCATCCTATGTAACCCCATTCCTACAGGGTTAATTGTAAGACATGGGAAATCAGATGTTAGCAAATACGGCAAGATAGAACACAGAAAGAAACACAAAGTACTCATGAAAGCCCTTCACAGCAGGGCAAGATTTGCTGGGCTTTTCAACAAATATGAGTGAGGCTAATGGACCAAAGTCATGTTGTCAAGGAAAGGGGCCATGATTCTTTTAATTGTCATTTTGTTTTTAATTTTTACATATCAGTTATGCTGCAACACAGAAATTATTTTCTAGCTCTAAATGACTTCTCTTCATCCATGAGGCTGTTTAAGAAAATAGAGACATTGGTGAGTAATAGAAAGGAAGAATTAATCTTCATGATTTGAAAATCTATGTCCCGAAAGCTGAACACTCATCTTGTCCAGCAGGACAGACACATGATGGCCTATGGAATGGTTACATTTGAGTGTGATTGGCACAGAAGGTCCCCCATCCCCTGCCCTAGTTACCAAAAATTAATAAAGTAGACATTTTAATTTGGAAGACCTTAGGTAAACATAGCAACTAAGTATTTTAACAACAGGGTCATCATCATTACTATTGCATCATCTATGAGACCATCATCCTCTCACTGCCACCATCATCAAGATTCCCCTGAAATTTTCTGATTCTTTGCATCAGGGGTAGAGATGTGACTGTATAGTTACTGTCTTAGCAAAAACAACTCAGATTTGCTGCTGAACAAGGCAAATCTGATCTGGCCTGGGAAGAGGTTTCTGAGGATGTCTTACTTCTCCATTTATTATTATTTGATTTAGTAATTAGTGTCTTGTAACTAATCATGCAGGAACTGAAATGTGATCTATATGTTTTCCTATATGCTACATTAATAAACACAGGACTTAGGCTTCTAAGCCCTGTTTCAGCATCTCAGACTTGTTATTAATTAATTCTATTGCATTACTACAAGTTCCTCATTGTATAGACTGGTAAAAGGTCAGTGCACAACATAATGTCCACATTTTGTGTTCTTCCAGCAAAATCTCTTTACATTAACTTCATTTCTGTATACCTGTAGTGCTCCTTTTCACTTTTATCTTACATTTTTAAATTGTAACATTTTATTATATATTTGATGTCAATTAACACATTATAAATAATATACATGTGTAAATATTGTAATTTGGCACTGCCACTATTTCCATAAATAATTGGCCAAACTCATAAGTATTTTCTAATGATCACATTTGAAGTTTAGTAATTTATGGTAATATAACTAAACCGTTCACTCTTGTTATTTTATATTGTTTTCTATTTAAACAACAGGAATTTAAATTCTGGCAGAGCTATAAATTCATAATTCACCAGCTTGCTGTCAACCATACTAATTACTTGTTTTACTTTTACACATTATGATTCATATTAGCACAATTCTCAATCTGCAAAGTTAATTGCATTCCAGGTAACAACTTTGAATCATTCAGTGCCTGCAAGCTTTTTAAAACTGTCAGTTTTCAGATACAAGTATGTATTGGTGTAGTGCTTGTTATGGTATAATTATCAATTAAAACGGCACTATGCGGTAAATTTAACCACATTAATTATATTTTGTTTGTCTGCCAGACAATGTTAGTGTCATTTATTCTAGAGTCAAGTATGAACAAGGGAATATACAGGCCATGCATTTTCCACCCTAAATGTTCATTGTTATGTATAGTTTTAAAAGCTACCATTGTAGATGCCTGAAGTTTGCCAGACATGACGTTGAAGTTTCATATATGAATATACAACACCTGGAACGCACACAGAATGTGCATAAGATCAAGCCAGCCAAATTCCAAGAATGGATTGGGGAGGAGCTCATGAGGCGCTAACCCTTTCTGAGGAGCTATTGGCCGCTGATGTCTGCTGGGAAAGGGAGAGTCAGTTTTCTATAAGGGTATGGGTCCTATGAATACACCCATCCTTGTTTCAGTAGATGAGAAAATGGTTCCCCATGGATATACACACAGGCAACATTATATAGTAAGTACTTAAATATTGATATGCATGTACAGAGGGAACATACAAATTTGGTAAGGAAAAGTGACATGGAACAGAGGAATTGCAGGGGAGGGAATGGAGGTTGAATTTGATCCAATGTATTATACTATGAACATATGTGCATGTATGAATATTGAATAAAATATTTTAAAAATTATCATGATAAAACTTAAGTTTCTGAGGAATTATTTCAGAACAAAACAAGCAAAAACAGATGACAGTTTATTAGAATTGTTTCCTGGATCACTTCATTAAACTGGGTATTAAATTGACCACATTGGGAAGACAAAAAAAAACATTAAATGGCAAAATTATTAATTTACAATCCATTAGCAATTAAAATTTTGCCTTCAGGCATATTTGTTGATTAATGTTAACTTTATAATGTTATAGAGAACCAAGCAGCGTCATTACTGAAATTTTCCAGGAGCTGAGAGAAGCATTCTGAATCATCAACCCCTCTACCTCTTACCATTCAGATTGCTGCCGCATCTCAGCCAACTGATGGAGTCGCTTAAGTGCTTTTTCTTGTTTCTTCTCATCTTTCCATGACTTGGAAGCTACATTTCGAGCAAATTCTCGTTGCTTTAATTCTTTCAATCTCTAGATAAAAGAATAAAACAGAAAGGATATTATAAATAAGTAAAACATGCTTTTCTGTCTACAAGAGTTTTAGTGAACCCTGGGCCTGCATGCAAAGGTGTCTTTTGGGAGATGGAGAGTAAAAGCATTTCCTCCAGTGTTTTTCTCTGCTCCAAGACAAATTTCATAGATAAATGTACTTGTCAACTAGACTGTTTCTCAAAGCTTGTCAAAATCCACCTCAGAGTGTGCTGCAAAGCTGGGATCTAGTCCTTGGTGGGATCTCCCTAGTCATACATCTCACATCTGTGACTGTGAGAAGAGAAAAACAAATTTATGGGCCATTTGCAAAGGGAGAAAAGGCCAGAGCATACACTTTCCTACCTAGTTCCTCCCTATAAATATGGTATTGGTTAAAGAAACTGACAGGAATTAAAGTCTCTCAGTAAATTGCTCCTATTACTAAATACTATTTCTACATAGGATTTTAAATTCATTTTTCTTTGGAGATATATACTAAATTCAGCACACGATGCAAAGAAATGGTGAGGAATGTCAGAATAATAGTTTCTTCATTTAAATTATCCTGAAACACTATTGATGATTATTCTATAAAACAATTTGTTTATAACCAGATCCAATGCATATTTCCTGTTTGTATCTCTCCTTCAGAAATTACCACACAGCACATGTGCCAACATCGAATCAATTAGGGAATGGATGCCATCAAACGTGCACTTTCAAGCTTGGGGCATAATGCTGAATTGGGAGTGTACTTGACCCACACAAGATGTTAAATAGAATAAAATATGTCTTTACTTTTAATTTTCATATCAGGTATAAAGGTCTTGTGGAGGAGGTAAGGAAAAATTTACAAGCTATCATTCATTTATCTGGTAGCAAAGCATTTCCTACACATAGAGCAAAGACCAAAATTTTTAATGATCATTAGCTTCATTCTTGAAAGGAACATTGTCATGGAAGATGGTGGCAAGGTAACCAATCTACACTGGGTACTTAAAGGAGGTATACCAGTCTTACTAAGTACATAAACAAAAGTGGCATGGAACCGGCAACAGCTACAGGGAATACAGAATATTCAATCTAAATTCACTTTTTATGAATACTTTGGCTATTTCTTGAAGAAAAGAAAATAGAAAGAAAGAGAGAAAAGGAAAAAGCCCCAGTATTAAAGTAGACCCTTTCTTTTCAGAAAAGAAAACAATAGCAAAAAGGTAACTATTTGGCAAGTGCAGATTAGCCTCAGGATGTGATGATGAATGAGATGATAGCCTTCATCCTTCAGAAGCAGAAAATGAAGTTTCTAAGACTCATGTATCTGATATTTATATTTCCTCAGTCTCCATGTGCTTTATACTCGAAGATTGTAGTGAAAACTTGCCTGATGAGAAAGCACTCTTGGATATTATCATGAATACTTTAAGAGAATGCATAATATACACTTTAACTGTGTTGAAGAATAAAGTCAGATAACTTCAGTGAAGATGGGTTAATAGATAAAATAAAATACTCCATATTTATTTAATATTTGGTATTATCAGCACATGAAATTTGTCTAATTGAGGAAGTTGAATCATTTATAGACAATTTATCCTTATAGAAGAAAAGTATTGGAAACTTTGGGGTATATTTGTTTCTTCAATTAGCTTCAAGATTCTAGGAGACTTCTATTTCTTAGAGAAATTATCATGCTTTCATTCAGTCTCAATTTTCAATAAATAAATTGTGTAAGTTACTCTTATGGAGTACAGATTATAAAAAACAATTATTTTCCCTTCCACAAAGATAGAAAGTTGAACCCATAAAACTTACAAGAAAATGCCCACTCTCTTAATTTTAAATAGCACACAAAATGCACTTTAGAAATTCACAAGAATTATGAAAATAGTTCTTTTGCTCTGATAATCATAAAAGCTAAGTGTTTTATAGAAACAAAAAACTTTGAAACACAGGAGGGAGGGAGGGTGGGAGGGAGGGAACCAGGGAGGGAGGAAAGCAATGAGGGAGGAAGGAAGTAAATATGTAAGGAAATAAAGAAAATAGATCCTACCACCCACATAAAGCCTCAATTCACTCAGGTTCTCCTTACGAGACCTGAAAAAATATGTTGGGTTGAGTAAAGAATTCAGGGAACTCTTTTTCAGTCGTGAGTAATTTCTTCTGTTGGGTACTATATTGGACTTGCCTAATAGATGATAAAAGCAAGGAATAAAGATTAACTGATTACAAGCTACTTACCTGAATGATAGGCAGTTATAAAACAAGCAAGCAAACAACAAAGAACTAAACAAACAAAAATAATATGTCAAAGAAGAGGCATATCCAATGCTAAAGATCTTTTGAAAAAAAATGTCCTAAGAAAACATAGTACTGCAAAAGCTTCCTAAAATAAGTGCTGTTATGAAACAGTTTAAATGGAGTTACTCAGTAATGGGGAAGGGGCATAGTGTTCTCACTAGACACCACAGGCTAGCAAATAAAAAGCCCAGCAGCAGGAGTGGGTTACCTCTTTGAGAGTTGTTGGTTAGCAGGGCCCCAAATACTCTACAAATTAAAGTCTATTGCCATTGGTTTTGGTTACCATCTAGAACTTGACAGGAAAACCCTACTGTTGAAGATACCACAACTTGAATTGTAGAATATAGAGAAATAAATTTGTATTGACCAGACCAGGCCAGGGAAACCCAAAGAAACAGCTAACCTGAACAAGGGGGAGCTCATGGACCTGAAATTGATAACTGAGAAACAGCATAAGACCGGCCAAGACCCCCTGAATGTAGGTGTCAGGAGGCCTAGGCCATATATGGGACCTCTGGCAGTAGATCAGTATTTATCCCTATTACACAAATGTACTTTGGGAGCACTCTTCACACAGAGGGATACTCTTTCAGTCTAGACACACTGGGGAGGGCCTAGCCCCTGCTGCAAATAATATGACAGACTTTGAAGATCCCCCATGGAAGGCCTCACTCTCCTTGGGGAGCAGAAAGAGGATGAGATGGGGAGTGGGTGTTGGGCAGGGGAGGAAGGGAAGGAGAGGGAACTAGGATTGATATGTAAAACAAGATTGTTTCTAAATTAAATTTAAAAAGGGAAAGAAAACTGGTATTGAACTAGAAGTACTAGCTCATTCATGGTTATGAAAAATGTTATGCACACAACTAATAATAATGTCTCTCTTATCCTGATGTGAAATCTTTATCTATGATGATGATTGGCATGGCAAGGCATACACCCATTTGTGCAAGCATGAAAAAAAAATGCTATAGAAGTGAACAAATACTTTCTGATTGAATTTAAAATCAGCTCCACAAGATGCAATCCATACATAACAGCTCTACTGAGGCCAAGAACCTATGGCTAGATAGTTAGGCACTAGGAAGAATTTACTATTTTTCTGCTAAATGGACATAGTATTAACTTAACTTCCAATGATCTATTGCTAAACACATAGACTAAATCATTTGTCAACACTCATCAAGGACTCTCCTTCTTGTAATTGATGCTTATTCACACAGAGACCTACATTTCCTCAAGGTGTAGAAAAAAATGTAACATTTATATCATAACCCAACCTGCAAGGCTCAGGGATCATCACAGAGATGGGAAGAAAGTTTTACAAGATCCAGAAGTGCCAAGTGGTGGTGGCATAACTCCTTTGATCCCAGCAATCTAGAGCAGTGTCAGGTGCATCTTCGTGAGTTCAAGGACAGCCTGCTCTACAGAGTGAGTTCCACTACAGACAGGGCTACACAGAGAAACCCTGTCTCGAAAAGCAAAGAAAAATAAAGAAGAAAAAAAGATCCACAGGGAGTGGTTGATTATAACTAAAAGTATTTTCATGTCATGACAAGGTAGTTGCAAATAAAAGTTTACAGAGCATGTGATGGCATACCCAAGACACAGACAAGCTTCAGCTAGATAAAATCCCAGCATGGAGGTATGAGGTAGGCATGAAGTTCCAGGCCTAGCCATAGAGCTATTGGCAATTGATAGTTACTGGAAGATGGACAGCAATTACACTTTAAGGACATGATACCCATAGGTAGACTGTGCTCTAATGGAAGAATTTGGAAATGATAAATTGGACTTGATTAGTCTTTTTTTATTAAAAAAGAAATTAAGTTACATGGATAGAAAGTTTTGGGATTGGGGTTAATATGTTTAAAAACACATATGAAACTTTCAAAGAATAAATAAAATACTATTTAAAAAGACTACATTGACCCCTCCACATAGAGGGATACTCTCTCAGCCTAGATGCACTGGGAAGGGTCTTGGCCCTGCTGCAGATGATGTGACAGACTATGAAGATCCCCCATGGAATGCCTCCCCCTCCCTGGGGAGGAGAAAGGGGTTGGGACATGAGGTCAGTGGGGAGCAGGGGAGGAGGGGAGGAAGAGGGAACTGAGATTGACTTGTAAGGGAAGCCTGTTTTGAATTTAAATAAAAAGTAAATAAAATAAAAAAAGAATACAATGAATTGTCTTTAAATTTTCAGGGCAATATTGAGACAGAACTGTACATCAAAAATAACTTGTTATTCATTCCCATGCTACTTCCTGCTGACTTTGGGTCGAAGTTAGGGACCCCAGCAGGCTGAAATGCTAGTCAAAACAAAAAAGGGAATTTAGGCAATGGGGATTCCATCAGGAGCTTCTGGTTGGCAGACTTTGTTGCAGAGACAGGGGGTGTCTTATCAGCTGGACTGGTTCATATCCACAGCAAGTCCAGGGCTCTCAGTCTACTTAGGAACAGCCTGTAGTCAGCAACTGATATACTCAGATGTTGTCTGCCAGAAGCAGAAACCTGTTTCAAACATGTTTAAACTAGGAACAGAAGTTAAAACTTATTTTCTGAAGTGCAGAAAAAGCAAATATCTGGATCTGTTCAAACAGCAGGAACATATTTATAATTTTGAGTCCTAGAAATAACTACAGATTTGGGCTAGAAACATGTACATTTTTCTTCTGTCCAGAGAGCCAGGTATGGATTGGACA